TTATGGGTAATTCTTGTTAATTTCAGAGAACTATAGTTTTTCATTAATGTCATGAAAAGGTTTTGGGGTTTTCCCCCTTCTAAGCACTTTTTTTCTTTTATACAGGGTCATTATAACTTTGACATCAGTGTTTATCTCCAGATTTATAATTGTTGATGCTAAAAGCAGGATTCCCTAAGTATCAGTTTGCCTTACAGCAAACGTTGCTGAAATGGACTGTTTGATTAAGCCAAGAAAGGCGATGTAAAGACGTAGAGGAGGGACAGTGAGATAAGTAGATGTCAAATAACATTCACCCGTATTTCTGAAAACAGTCTTAAATGGTTTTGATGTAGTGGTAATCCTTTGTATGTTTTTGATATAAGGTATCATTTTTCATTAGTCAACAGCGTACATGTATATTTCTAAACACAAGTGAATCAGTACTTCCAGCACTTTCTTCTTTGAGAACATCTCCTATTCATACATCTTAGTTGCTTCCTGGGCATACCTTTGGTTATGTGTTTTTCATCATAGATCCAGACAGAGGGAGCGGTGGGCCTGTGTTTAATCTTCCACTGTAGCTCAAGTCAGAACCACTGTACCCTGCTTTTATGCTAAATATTTGTATTACTGTCCTTTGATGTTTCCTCGTTGTACATAATAAATCTTTCCTCTTTATTTTTTTTACATTTGCATTTTTTAAATTATAGTTAATTTACAGTGTTGTGTTAGTTTCAAGTGTACAGTACAATGATTCAGTTATGTATATATGTATATATATATATATATGTCAGATTATTTTCCATTATAGGTTGTTATAAGACATTGAATATAGTTCCCTGTGCTATACAGTAGGTCCTTGTTGTTTATCTCTTTTATACATAGTAGTGTGTATATGTTAATCCCAAACTCCTAATTTATCTCCCCACCCCATCCCCCCGGTAACCATAAGTTTATTTTCTATGTCTGTGAGTCTATTTCTGTTTTATAAATAAATTCATTTATATCATTTTTTTTTAGATTCCACATATAAGTGATATCTTATGATATTCATCTTTCTCTGTCTGACTTCACTTAGTATGATAATCTCTAGGTCCATCCATGTTGCTGCAAATGGCAGTGTTTCATTATTTTTATGGTTGAGTAATATTCCATTGTGTACATATACCACATTTTCTCTATCCATTCATCTGTTGATGGACGCTTGGATTGCTAAATCTTTCCTCTTTAAAAGAACTGATTTATGACAGTAAGAGAAACCACACTCTGAGGTACACTTCAAAGGAAGAAAACCACATATTTAACCAGGTAAAGCAAATATCTGTTTCTCTAGCTTTTAAAACAAACAAACACCCACATATGTATTTAGGACTCTCATTTTTCAGGTCACCATGTTTTCACAGAGAAGTATTTAAGTATAGTGAAGAGAGGGGGCCAGTTGACTCCTGCTTCTGTCAGAAGTGCCGTGTACCAGGCACCCTTGTAGGTCCAGGGGACGACACAGTGAATAAGATTTACAACTTCTGCTCTCAAAGTGCTTAGATTCTATTAAAGGAAGGCAGACAATGAAAATGTAAGCAAATGATGAGGATTTCAGGAACTAGGAAGTGCGATGGTTAGCAAAGAATTTAAGTGAAGCATCATTTTCTAATTTCCATTTTTGAAAACCCTGGCTACTACATTGGAAGCGATTGGAAAGGGGCTTGGACTGGGCTGTTGTCCATGGAGATGGAGGGAATTGGCTAGAATTTAGAGAATTGGAGGAAGGTAGGATGGAAAGAACTTGGTAATGGACTGGGTAAGGGAGGGGATGGTATAGTGGACGACTCCCAGGTCTCTGTCTTGAGCACAAGGATGGAAGGGATGCTATTAATTAAGATAGTAAAGAATGGAGGAGGAGCCCTTTGGGGGCAGGAGGGAATCGAGGATTCAGTTTTGGACATGGTATATTTGCGATGCCTGCAAAATAGCCAAGGAAAAGAAAAACCTTGAGTGCATTTGCAAAATGAGTCCGGAAAGGAGGTCAAGGCTGAGTTATAACTGTGGGAGTCATTGGCACATGGGTGATATCTGAAGCCATGGAAGTGGTTGAGATCACACAGGGGTGAGGACTGTGAAGGAGAAAAACTTGGTCCAGGACTAGCTGTGAGATACACCAGACATTTAATCGATCTAGTGGAAGATGTGGAACTGAAAAACAAGCCTGAGCAGGAATGGCCAAAGGCAGTTAATTTGCAAGAAAAAAATAATCATATTTCATGATCACAGACCACACAGTCCTGGCCAGCAGCTCTCAGCCACAGCTCCCAGTTGGCTCTGAAAAAGCCTTCACTAATGCTAGGAAAGAAATCTACTGCATGCATGTCTTCCCTGAGTAGGGGGAGAAAGAGTTTCATCCTCATTTTCAAAGATGACTGTACTGGATATAATCCAAAGGATAAAATGAAAGTATGAAGCTGTTGCTGTGTTTCTAGAGCAGGGTTTGAAGTTCCTTTGAAACAAATGGGAAAGGCTCAGAGGTCAACTTCTCTGTCCTGGTTTAGTTTGGGTTCTTAGTAAATGGAGAATGATCTTGCTTAGTTGGCAGCAGCCTTTCTCTTGCGAGAAGTTAAAGTGCTACACCACAGAGTTATTTTGTCTTTATGCTTGTAATTACATGGGAAATTTAGATTTAATAAGAAAACTAGTTTAAAAGACATACAAACTTGCAAGTCCAGCCTTGGAAAAAGGAGCACAGGGGAATCTTTCAAACCCATCTCCCTCTGGTTTCGATTATTTCACAATGTACAGTATCGCCATTTAATAGGCATTGCAGTAAATCCCAGATGGGATGTTTGTAGGCTGTGACACACTCTAATCAATTAAAAACAATAAACTTTCAACTTTATATAAAATAAATTCCTGAAATCCTAGTTGGTTACTGTGTATCTGAAATTTTGGGGGTATCCCTTCCTATATAAATAAGGTTTATTATTTGTAGAGGTGTGTGTCTTAAGTTGAGTCATGGAAGATGGTCCCTGGTCTTAATATGGTAATATTAATATTAAATAACTACACGTGTGCCGTTCATTTTGACATAAATTCTTTAGTGTGAAGCCATACACTCTTGCAAACTATTGAAGAGTAGGAATAGAAATGGACTGCTGCTTAAATGATGAAAGTATTAAAAAGCTTGGAAACTTTCTTTGTCAAGTTGGCTATTTCTCGTGCTCTTTCACTTTCCTTTTCTTTCTCAAAATCAATTTCAGTTCTTCTGCAGTTTCAGTTCATGTTTCACAAGTTTAAATATCAACATTTGTGAGGGCACCATTTCTAGTTCGATCAAGATTTTCTTGCAGGGTGTATGGCCGTGTACAGTTCTGAATGACATCCTGGTCATAGGAATCACTTGGCGGCTACCTGTACTATATACCATGAGCTACTTTGGCCCAAATTTCAAATCTGACATGGCAGTTCCACATTGAGGGAGTTAATCTCTTATGTACCTTCCCAGCCTGGATTTGGGAGCGGCTACCTTTTTGTTTTCTAATGTTGCTAACCTGTCCAAACTAGAAATAATTTCCTAATTATTTCTAATAGTATCATTGATGCCCTGACTCATTCCTACATATCTGTATTTTTAAGCCTTTCATCTTTCATTACTGAATGACTGCTTTCCAACACCCAGACACCTAGCAGAAGAGGGAGAAAGCACAGTTGTAGTGAAGCAGTATGCACAGAGTGGGAGAGGATTTTGGAGAAAAACTAAACTTGGTTTAGGGAATGAACATTTATTGAGCATCTTCACTGACTGGCTGTAAGTTAAGAGCATCACATAGGGTCTCATTAATATTTAATATATATAGCTCTTATTGTTTGTGTCTTAAATCTCTGTCTAATTAAATTATGATAATTTAATCAGTGAATTCAAAAGTGAACTCTAAGCTTCTGCTTTTTCAAAGTATGTTGTTCATGTGGCACATTTCATTAGTTCATACAGTAGGGTTTTTTCCTCAAATCGTAGAAAAATTTAAAGGGCATAATGGCCATTCATTAGAAATAGCAAGTGACAATAAGCTCTCCAAGGAATATTTCTTTCCAACACTCAGCTTTGGAGAGTTGAAATTCAGGGTGGTTAGGATGATCAAACTGGTAAGTGCTGACCAATGTCTTGGGAAATTTGACTTTTTGCAAATTTTGGACTATAAAGCAGGGCTTTCCTTTTGATTAGCTTCCATGAATTTGTCAATTTACTCAATATCATGGCTTTGTCATTTATTCCTCTTACATTTAAATGGGTTTCTATAAGTCATTCTTGGTTACTGTTGCTCAGAGAACTATTGTAGTGTTGATTTTATATTTCGTATGTAATTCTTATAAAATTAAAACTAGGGAAAAATTACATAAAAACTTACTGCCTCTTGAGACATACTATCTTTACAATCAGAGCCCTTTAACTTGTTTTTTATTTAATTTTAGCATTTTTAAAAATTTTATTGGAGTATAGTTGATTTACAGTGTTGTCTTAGTTCCAGGTGTGCAGCAAAGTGACTCAGTTATACATATACATATATTAATTCTTTTTCAGATTTTTTTCCCATATTATTATGGAATACTGAGTAGAGTTCCCTGTGCTATACAGTAGGTCCTTGTTGGTTATCTATTTTATATATAGTGGGGTGTATATGTTAATCCCAAGCTCCTGATTTATCCCTCCCCCACCCCCATCCCCAGAGCCCTTAAACTTCTAAACAAAAGTATTGGCTACAAAGCAGAAGGTGTAAAACACTTGAATTGCCAAAAAACCTCAAAGATTATGCACAACCACCCATTAATTTCACCAATGAGAACCTAATTCCCCCAAATGAAGGAAAATTATTTTAGCTCTTTTCTGAACAGAAACTAATGCCAGTAGATGGGAGGCAAACCATAGAGTGGGAAAATGGGAAGGAAAATACTCCTTCCAATGAGATTTTTAATTTGCTTCTCTTGCTCATATTTACTGAATTTTTATCCTCCTCCTCCCCCTTTGTTTTTAGTGGCCACAGATGTCTTTAATTCCAAAAACCTGGCCGTTCAGGCACAAAAGAAGATCTTGGGTAAAATGGCGTCCAAATCCATCGCTACCACCTTAATTGATGACACGAGCAGTGAAGTGCTGGATGAGCTCTACAGGGTGACCAAGGAGTACACCCAGAACAAGAAGGAGGCAGAGAAAATCATCAAAAACCTCATCAAAACAGTCATCAAGCTGGCCATTCTTTACAGGAATAATCAGTTTAACCAGGATGAGCTAGCACTGATGGAGAAATTCAAGAAGAAAGTTCATCAACTTGCTATGACCGTGGTCAGTTTCCATCAGGTGGATTTCACCTTTGACCGGAATGTGTTATCCAGGCTGTTAAATGAGTGTAGAGAGATGCTGCACCAGGTCATCCAGCGTCACCTCACCGCCAAGTCACATGGACGGGTTAATAATGTCTTTGATCATTTTTCAGATTGTGATTTCTTGGCTGCCTTGTATAATCCCTTTGGAAATTTTAAACCCCACTTACAAAAACTGTGTGATGGCATCAACAAAATGTTAGATGAAGAGAACATATGAGCATGTGAGTTGAAATTGTGACTGCTCATGATTTATTTGAAGATGGAGCACTGCTGATTTATGAAGAAAAAAAATAATGTTTTAAAGATTACACATATTTCAGAAAGACTTTGCCCAATTCAGTTGTCAGACATTAATGATAATGTTTTATGAGGCTTGTTTTATTTGAAGCATAGCATATTGCCAAATATTCTGGTAAAAAGCTTCCCAGCGGTTAGCAGACCACGGGAAGATATATGGTTGCGTGATGCAAATATAGAGTTATATAAAGAAAGATACGTGTGGCTCCAAACCTCAAGACATCTTTTTTAGGGCAGTTGTTATGTTGGTGGCACATTGGATATTTCTGTCATGTACAGAATTGTGTATTTTCATTCACTTTTATTCCTTACTATGTATGTGTACCGCTTTTAAAAAGCCAGGAGCTCTCTCTTACTGTCATTTCTCCTTTTGAAACAATTCCATTTTCAAGTTTACCTTTTGTTAAAAATTCTTTTGTTAAAGACTTTGTCACTGACATTCAAGAATTCCATCTTAATTAAGAATTAAGATTCAAGAATTAAGGCAGTCAAATTGAACCTTCAGAAAAATAGAAAACTGCTTCTCTGAAATCAATGTTGTAGAAACCAATTGTATTTGACATTATGAATAATGTCTAACATAAGACTATGCTTCTGGAATCGAGTCCTGTTTTTCAGTACCAACAGTAATACTTCCCAAAACATGAAAATTCCCCAGAATGGCATACCATTGCCTTGAAATGCTTGCTGAGGGCTTAACTTACATCATCTTGAAAATGGGCTGACGGAATCTCCATTTTTCATACCTGTTTTAAATGTAAGAGACAAAGAGGAAATCTAGATCATTCCCGATATTGGGACAATTAAAAGTAAGTGGTTTTAAGAATGATAAAACAATCTTTACCTTAGAGATGAGCCCATCAGAATAATTTAATTTAGGGGGATGAAAGTCAAAAGAGAAGACAGGATATTGCCAGAAGAACATGGGAATGAAAATGAATGCATTTCAATGTTTAGTAAGGTTTGATAGGTAAATAAAGAATGTCACTTTTTTATTTAACTGATAAGGTTTTTGCTTTTTTGTTATTTGCTATTTTGATGAGTAAACCAAAGAATATTTGCATTCCAAGCAGTTTGTGTGTTGTTTCTATATAATTTTATGTGTGAATGATAAAGTAAGCATTTGCTTATTTTGTAAAAAAAAAAAAAAAGAAAAAGAAAAAAATAGAAACCTGCTGGCCAACAATATCACCTAGGAAATAACAGACTCAGTCACCAGTGCTAAATATTTGCAATGTCACTCTGTCTGTGATTTAGTGTACTCTTTTGCCTTGAATTTGCCTGCCTCCCAGAATACTGATGTTAAAATAATAGCTCTGGGCTTCCCTGGTGGCGCGGTGGTTGAGAGTCCGCCTGCTGATGGAGGGGACGCGGGTTCGTGCCCCGGTCCGGGAAGATCCCACATGCCGCGGAGTGGCTGGGCCCGTGAGCCATGGCTGCTGAGCCTGCGCGTCCGGAGCCTGTGCTCCGCAACGGGAGAGGCCACAACAGTGAGAGGCTCGC